TAGCCACATATACCCATATTTCCTACCTCGAACCAAAGAGCCTAACAATTGAAAGCCACAAAGCCCCAATGATCCCAATAGCTTAATGTTCGATATTAGTAGAGTAGAATAATTTGGTGAGTATTTGGAGTCAACCATATGCATGTAAGTATAAATTCTTTCTATCTTTAATTTGCAAATATTGGATGCTTGAAGCAATTGTATGAATTGTGGTTTTGGTAATGGTGAGTGACTAAGTGTTGTTGAATTTTGAGCTTGCGAATGCCTAAGAATTGTCATTATAATTACAAGTTCTGAAAACGTGAAGTTGATCATTGATCTATGTGATGAGATGTAATAGTTGAGTTATTTGCTTATTGGTAGATTTTGCTTGAGGACAAGCAAAAGTTCAAGTTTGGGGGTGTGTTAAGTGTATATTTTTACACTTTATCGTATCTTTTTATTTGAGCTTTTGGTGTGTTTTAATGATAATTGGTGCTTAAAAAGTTGATTTATTGTATTTTAGGTACAAATTGAAGAATTGGAAAAGTATGGGGTCAAAACTGCAATTTTGGCGAAAATATGGGTCAAAAGTAAAAATATCAAAATTCAGAAGAAACAAGGCTCGGACCCCGTCCCAGTTTTAGTGCAAATTATGGGACCCCCGTCCCATAACCCGAAGTTGCGCAGTAAATGAATTTTAATTGCACAAGGAAACTGCCTTCTTCCCCAAGTTCTTCACCCTATATAAGACCAAGCCAAGCACACAATTGGGGATCCATCTTTGGACGCAAATTCAAGAGCATAGAAGATCAACGAAGATTCAAGCATAGTTTTTCTTATTTAATTTATTTCTTTTATTTTCTTTATCATAAGAATCACGAGTAGCTAAGTCTTTATTTCTAGGATTTTATTTGGAACCCTATGTGGGATTTATGAACCCAATTCTATGATTTTATGCAAGTTTTAATTCCGGATTATTTCTTCTACTTGTTTTATTAAGTTCATGAAACTGGCCACTTTATGCGCTTTTATGTTATTGTTAATCGCATGAATCGGAAGATCGGGTTAATAATTAGAACTGTGGTAGAAGAGCCTTTGTGGTATTAACATAGGAATATAGTTAATCTCTTAGGTAGCCATTATTGAGATTTGTGTTTAATGTTGTGTTCTAGAATTAATTGCATAGGAATATAGTAATTGAATCTAGAGTATTAGAATCGTAATACACGCGGAAGCGGGTTATGATTATTTTAGCATCTCAGGTTAATAATCCGGGTTAATTGCTTGCATAATTGAAGGAATTGGGGGAGTAATAATCACATAGGGGGAAGAATAAAATCCTAGGCTCGTTTACTTTGATTAAATCTTCGTTTTAATTGCTTTCTTGTTTTTGTCTTTTTAATTGCTTTAGTTTAATTTAGTTTATTAATCCTTTTTCGACTGTGTAGGGTGGGCTTGATAATAATTGGTAGAATTTAGCGTCTAGGATTAGATAATTAAATATTCCCTGTGGGTTCGATATCCGGACTTTTAGTCCACTATATTACTTATACGATACGTGCACTTGCGTGTAGGTTTTCGCCCAACAACGAGCCAAAGAAAAACCGGAACGTTAACAGAAGAAAGTCGCAAGAATCAAACGAACTAAGAAGAGAAAAACAATCAGTTACGAAAACTCCTATGGGAGCTGAAGAAGCAACATTCGCCTTGAGAGCGTTGATCTACACCTTCCACCACAATCGACCCTTTTCAATTCACCGGAAAGAAAGTTCAGAAATTTAGTTCCAATTTCAACCCTTAATTGGAACTAACCAAGCAGCTTACCGATGGAACTTTTAAGGAAAAAATACAAATAAAACGAAAAAAAGGATACACAGTTGTAATATTACAATAACCAGTAAAAATTTCAGTTTTATTTATAAAATTCTCATTTTCAATCTATCTACTAGTGCCGATAATTTATTTTATGTCGGTTTTTACTTGAAAATTAAAAATATACGACTAAGAACATATTTAGAATCAACATAGAATATTAATTGACACGATAAGATAGTACGTTGATAAATACTTTACAATTATGACTTATTTGGTCATGGATTCGAGACTTCGAGTACTCGAACGGAAATCGAGAAACCAATGACTATCCTCATTAATGAAGACAAAAACAAATTATAGAATATTAAATTTATAGAATTTAATGTAATATTGCAATATAAAACTAATAATAGTGGATCGATTATAATATTAATAGATTTTAAAATTATGGATTAAAAAACAATTATATTAGTCTAATATTAATTGAAGACATTATATTGGGGGCCCTATAGATCATGGCCCTCTTCCCCTGTCTACTTTTAACAACCTTTACAAGAAAAAGAAAAACCCTTAAAAAAAGAAAAACTCAGAAACTTATGGGCCATTATTTAATAAGTTAAAATTGCGAGTACCAAAGCTTTGATTCTATATTTTCTGTATGGAGCCTATTTATTGTCTATGCACTTCTATATTTTATTTCCAATATTTTATTATTTGACGTAACATTATAAACTTACATTTTTTTCTCAATATTTTATTATTTAATTGTCAAGATAAAATTAATTAAAATAAGATTATAATTTTTTGTGACTCATTGTATAATTAAAACTATGGGAGGTCCAATACTCAATTCTTCGTAAACTTATATTTTTGTAATTATGGGTTGGCCCGAAAAATAATTGACTAATTGAACATTAAATAAAACTTGATTATTTAATTAATTTTAATATAGGCAAAATACAGTTTTAGTCCCTCATATTTGTACCGATTTCACATTTGGTCCTTAATGTAAAAAAAACACATTTGGTCCCTCATGTTTCAACACTTTTAGTCATTTCCGTCAATTTTTCGTTAGAACTAACGGAATCAGACGTGTCTCTATCACTGCCTTAACTGACGGAGTAGCAGTAAATTGACGAAAAAAGACCAAAAGTGTTAAATTATTGAAACATGAGGGACCAAATGTATTTTTTTGTGAACATTGGGGATCAAATGTGAAATCGATGCAAACTTGAGGGGTGAAAATTGTACTTTCCCCAATTTAATATATAATATCAATGAGGATATATAGCTTGATTATTGAAAAATCATGTCTAGACCAGACAATGCTTTAAGTCCAAGTTAAAGTTGAGGATATTAAAAAAAAATATAGCTGAAATGGCAAATTTATATGCTTAAATATTTAATTAAGCAACAATCATTGAATCACATTGAAATTCATTATTCCGCATAAATGGGTGATTTAACAACATTTAAAATACAAAAAAAAAGAAAATGACAATGGATAAATTTGTGATTTGTTCAAAAAAATATTCAATATATTTATACTTATAAATAAATTACAAAGACATAAATTGTATGTACGTAATTTTCCTAAAGGATAAATTTCTATATATTTTCTTACAAAAGAACTCGTAACAACTTAATTCTTCGTACAATAGCTTGCAAACCACACAAGAACCCAATGAGTTTTATTTAATTTTGAACTAACTATTTAAATTAGTTATAAATTGGCAATTATCTAATTCTTTTTTATGGTGTATGATCATGTGCAAAAACCCAATGGGTCTCGTGATTAGATTCCCTAATAGACATACTTGTAAGATAATTTAAGTAAAATATAATGTTAAAAAAATTGCATGCCAAAAGTCACGTGCCACGCAACATGTGTTAACAAATCCAAATTATATTCTCTAACATTAACCTGCTGTCACGCGACATCATGTGATCCCACGATTTACTTACAATTTTTTTAAAAATAATATATTTTATATATATGAAAACACAAAACAATATCTTTTTTATGTACTAAATTTAGACTTCATTTGATTACTACGTGCCATCAATAAGTCAAAATGGGCATCCATTTATGAAGACAGACAAAAAAAGGAATTGATGCGGTGACGGAGTCGGCATAGAGCCGAAGGGGGCCATGGCCCCTATAATAATTCTTAAATTTCTATTTTGTATATAACTATTTAGAAAAATTCTTGTATAATTAGTATTATCGGCTCTCCTCATAAAAGTGTTAATATACTTTGGTATTCGCGAACTTAAAATCCTGATTGAACGATATATTAAGATATAAAATAACAAGTTTAATACAATTATTAATGAAAGAACTCTTCTTGGTCATGTTACTTCTTAAAATAATTAAGAGCTGAAGAATTAATTTTTTTTTTTTTTTGCAGTATCCATTTTACAATATACTATTTCATAATTTTATAAAATTAAATTCAAGATTAAAATTTATTTTACAAACATATCAACTTCTAAGTTAATTCAAGATTAAAATTTATTAAAACTACATAATTGACATTGAGAGAGAGAAAAGGAGAGAGAAGCATACGTTGGATGTTAGATATTTTTTAAAAGGATAAATTTCACTTGTTGGATGTTAGATATTTTTTAACAAGATAAATTTCACTTTCCCCCTTGTTGGATGTTAGATATTTTTTAACAAGAATTATTATAGGTGTTGGACAAAAATGGATATCTTTAAATATATGGATGAAAATATTCAGCGTTTCAATTTTTCTTCCTTTCACATTTGTCATTGAAAAATTAACCATTGAGTTTCTCCTTAAATAACTTTTGAGTTTCTCCTTAAATCAATCTTCTTCTCTTAGATAATTCTCTTGCATAGTTATAATTTCACAAACAAATGCTTATGTAGAAGAGTTGTTCCATATTTCCAGTTAACTGAAATTAGTTGTGTGAGATCTGAGAGAGAGAGATAGAGAGAGAGAGAGAGAGAGAGAGAGAGAGAGAGAGAGAGAGAGAGAGAGAGAGAGAGAGAGAGCATTGAAAGAGATGGCTTATGGTTCCTTAAAAGAAGCTCTCAGAGTATTCGATAAAAAGAGGAGCACCATCAACATGAAGATGGTGAAAAGTTTGGAGGCGGAAATGGTAGAGGCAATATACAACTTCGAAGATGTAATCGACCCTCATCTCTCAAATCAGTTCCATTCACAATCTGAAGCAGAAGAAGAGACGGCCGATCATCCTCCATCAATGGTATTCTCAGTAGATGTGCAGGAAATAAAGCAAGATGTCGATTCCTTTATCGAAACAATGAACAAGATGAAGAGGGCCTATATCCACGAATTACACAATCCCTCACCTGAAGAAGATGATGATGATGATTTTGTGGCATCAAAAACTCATTTTCGGGGAAATGAGCCTATCATGGTTGGATTATCTGATATATTTATGTCAATAGAAAATTGGCTTAATTCCTCAAATTCTGAAAGGATTATTGTGTCGCTGGTCGGGATGGCTGGCATTGGTAAGACTACTCTTTCCAAGAAACTCTTTCATGATCCATTCATTGTGAGTTGTTATAGCAGGCTCGTGTTCGTGACCATAGGCCCTAAATATCGTCTAGCGGATATCTTGGTGGATATTCTAACACAAGTGAATCCCGACTTTGATGAAATAATGCTTATGAAAGGAGAAAAAGTATTAGCTGGATTGAAAAGGATGGTTTACGAAAGTTTAAAGTATTTGAGTTACTTGATCGTGTTGGATGATGTATGGGAAATAGACCTCTGTTCTGTGTTGTTGGAGTTATTTCCAGATGACAAAAATGGAAGTCGAGTGTTGGTCACAACTAGGATGAAAAAAGTAGCTGATTGTGCTAAGCCTTTGAATATTTGCAAAATACCCTTCCTTGATAAGAAAGAAAGTTGGGATCTTCTTCGCGAGAAGGTGTTTGGTGAAGAAGAACCGTGCTCTTATAGACTTGAGAAAGCTGGAAAGAAGATTGCCGAGAATTGTGAAGGTCTTCCTCTTACAATCATCACGGTTGCCAATATCCTGTCAAAAGTTGACAAGACAATAGAGTACTGGAACGAGGTAGCGGATGATAAACAAAATTCAGTATATAAGGATGCATATGAACAAATGTCAAAGGTACTATATCCAAGCTATGACTACTTAGATCAACATTTAAAAGCATGTTTTCTCTACATTGGAGCTTTCCCACAAAATTATTTACTAGACCAGTCCCAACTAGCCAACTTGTCGAGTGCTGAAGGATTTCTTAACTCAGAATCAGTGCATTACTATGAGGAGACCATGGATTATGCATATGATAGCTTTGGATATTGTGATGACCTTTATGCCACAAATGTTATCATGTTCGACAATGAAACATTTGATTTTTACCTTCATTCGTCCTTTTGGTACTTGTGTAACAAAGAAGCTGCCAGGACCAAGTTGTTCTATGCCTTAAATTGCCATGGCGATACTCTACCGGAAGAAGGTATAGAAAGCCAGCGCCGATTGTGCATCCGTAATAATATTCTACTTGCCATCAAAGATGTGCACAACTCAATTGCATCTGATTCAAAGGTACGATCTCTCCTTTGTACCGGTTATTTTCATAAATATCCAGTACCGCTGTTTTTGGAACATTTGAGGTTGCTGAGGGTATTGGATGCTCTTTCTATTAGATTCTATGAGTTCCCGATAAAAGTATTGAAACTAGTTCAATTAAGATACCTCGCCCTCCTTTATAATGGAAACCTCCCTTCTTCCATTTCCAAACTCTGGAACCTTCAATACTTGATTGTTATTCAACATCCAAGGATAGTAAAATCTGTTGGGAATCTATTGTATCTGCCTATTGAGATATGGAATATGAATGAATTGAAGTATCTTTACACCTGCGGAAGAGACCTACCACATCCTTGTTGTGAAGGATCTCTCCTACCAAACCTATTAAAACTAGGTGGTGTCGGTCCTCAAAGTTGTGCCAAATCTGTGCTCGAAAAAATCCCTAAATTGAAGGCGTTATCGATTGATATCGAGCTGGCTCCTGATGCTACAGAGCCCTTGACATGCTTTGATCACGTTTCCCATCTCCATCAACTACAAGAACTAAGATGTTACATTATGAATCCTACATTGAAGACAGAGGTTGTTACCCCACTTGTTCCTCTTTCAGACTTCCCATTAAGTCTTACAGCGTTAGTTTTGAGTGGCTTAGGATCTCCGTGGGAAGAAATGAGAAATATTTCTTCATTGCCAAATCTTACACATCTCGAACTGAAATTCTATGCTTTTCGAGGCCCAAAATGGGAGGTTCGTGACAACGAATTCCAAAGTCTCTTATATCTTGAGATTGAAGACATCAATCTGGAGCAATGGACATTTCAAAATTGTCTATGCCTCCCTGTGATTCAGGGCCTTCACATCGCACATTGCTACAAGTTAAAAGAGATCCCTCTCACATTTGGTAAATCTCTTCTAAGCATTAAAATAGTCGAATGCAACCCTATGGCTGTGAAATGTGCAATCAAGTTAAAAGAGGAGTGGGACGACAAATATGCTGGTCGTGAACGTTTGTTAGAACTTGTTGTTCGTTCTTCACTGTAACAATGGGAACACCAAACCGTGAGTGACTCTACCATATCATTGATTCTTCAAAAGGTTAGTCGTTAAATTTTTATATCTATCGAAAATACTAATATTTTAGTCAATGCCCATTCAGGTAAAAGGAATTAAACAACCTTAAATTTTTTAGTATTAAATTTGAATTAACATATATATATTTTTTATTATAATTTCATCATACAGTGAATATTACCAAAGATATACTCAGTATATATGCATACATTCTCCTACAAAACAAGAGAAATAGACAATATAGATATATGGTTGATAACACATATAATAGGATCATATAAGTTGCGTTTGGATGAAACAGTTTGAATTTGCTACAACAGAGATAGATTTTATTATAGAGTAAATTACGAAAACTCCCTGAACTTAGGCTAAATAACGAAAAAAACCCACATATTCCTAATTACCAAAAACCCCTGAGGTTTGTTTCCGTCTTACACCAACCCTTTACAGTGTGAGTTTTCACGTATTTTTTTTAATTCCAAGAAATAGACTTTACACAATTGCACATATTTTCTTTTATTTCTCACCTATTTAATAAAAGGTATAATAGATTGTACAAATTTTCTGTTAAAAAACTCGGTTAACAGTTAATCAGAATGGGATTTCGGTTATTACGGATAGGTGGTGGTGTTTTTCGTTATTTAGCCTAAGTTCAGGGAGGTTTTCGTAATTTACGCTTTATTATATTACAAATTAATTTATTTGATTACTGATTAATGAATTTGCTATTATGGATTAAAAAAAAAAATTAACATCCGAAATCATTGAACATTCTCCTTTATTACAGGTGTATCGTCTCGAGAGCCGTAGGCTGATTGATCACGAGAGAAATTACATCGACATTGTTTGCATCAAGAAATCGGAGGAACGTACTTTCAGTTTTGAGACGGACAAATCAAAGCGTGTTTGAATATTTTGTTAATGTTATTTGGTGTGTTTAATTTTTCTTGATTGATTTTTTATTACATCCTCATCAGTTATATGTTGTGAGGTTAAAATTAAGACTATTGCGCAATTAAGAAAGGTGCACGTGTGTCGCACATATTGTCGAATTTACAAATTTTACTCGTCTCTGCCAAAAAAGGTAAATCAAAGATAACTACATACATACGATAACCGAAGTATAAGGAACATATATGCTAGTTAGTCATATTTTCCTATCGGAAAAAAGCCGTGTTTAGTCTCTTGATTTCATATTTCAAAGAACTTAAAAAAAGCCCTCTGTTTCATTACTTGAAGTTAGGTGTAAAATACTCCCCTTTGACAGTTTTCGCGGAGCAAAATCTCACCTTAGAAAACACATAGCAAATGAAAAGAAAATCGAGGATTGTTATAAGCATATGCAGCCTCGAAACACAATATCAAACATCAAATAAAACGAGAAATGGAGGGTTGCGTATTTATGAAATTCCTCTTAAAATTCTACATTTACATGGATGGGGGTATCTTTTCTCTGTCATGTGCGGTGCACATGCTGTTTTCCGTCAAACAACCCCACCCCCAACACAACTACTCTCCATGAAAGCTCTCTAATGGTGCATCAACCGTTGCACACATTCGGGAGCCGTCGTCTACCTGCAATTGCAAACGTCTGGATCTTGACGTCGTGAGGGAGGTGCGGTGGTTATGATGGCGGCGGCTGTGGTGGAGGTGGTTTTGGAGTCGATTTAGATCTATTTTGTGCTGCCGACTTCCAAGCGACGCCGTTTCGGAGTTCGAGTGCTGGTTGGAGGTGAGGCCGACGATGCCGTTTCGGGGTAGAAATCGAGATTGTTGTTTTCTGATGACGAAGACGTCGGAGATGGTGTGAAGCTGGTTGAGTGAACATTTTTGTTTATTTTGGAGAAGATGGCTTTTTTGAAAAGGTCAAGGATTGAATTGAATTTTTTTTTAATATAGAATTTTGGGGTGAATCTGTAATTTTTGAAATTTATAATTAGTAGGGCATTTTGGTCCTTTCGGGTTTAAAATACACCCAGTCGCACAATCCGCATGTGGAGCACACGATAAGCTGGCAGGGCCCTTGTTGCCTTTGACTAATTTTCATACGGCGCTATTGCTAATTCTTTTAACATGAGGATTTTTTTAGCAATTTGAAATTATACAGGGGTGGTTTTTGCAAAAAAAAAAACATAATAGAATACAACCTGTTCATTAGAAAAGTTAATTAATGGGCGACATGGATTAATAAATAAATATTCCTTTGCACATGCTTCCAGAGCAATAACTTCAACAAACAATGCCTATGAAGAAATTTATTCAAAAAAAATCAGATGCTGACAGTGATTTGTCAAACAGAGAGAGAGAGAGTTGAAAGATGGCTTATGGTGCTGTTTCTTCTCTTGAGCTGACAATTGAGCGCCTTTTGAATTCATCACATCTTCCGATTGTTCAAAATTCATCCCCACAAATCCTAAAACATATGTATGAGAATATTCTTTCCTTAAAAGAAGATCTGGGAGAATTCGACAAATGGAGGAGCACCATTAACATGAAGATGGTAAAAAAATTGGAGGCGGAAATGATAGATGCTGTATACAGATTTGAAGATGTAATAGAATCTCATGTCTTAAATCAGTTCCACTCAACACAATCCGAAGAAGCTGGGAGTGATCATCCACCATTAACGGTATACTCAGTAGATGTGGAGGAAATAAAGCAAGATGTCGATTCCTTTATCGAAACGGTGAACATTATGAAGAGGGCCTACATTCATGAGTTACGCAACCCTTCTCCCGAAGAAGATGATGATTTTGTCCCGACAATAACTGATTTTGGTGGAAATGAGTCTAACATGGTTGGATTGTCCGATCTATTTATGAGATTCAGAGATTGGCTTATTTCCCCACACTCTGAATTGATAGTTATGTCGCTCGATGGGATGGCTGGCATTGGTAAGACTACTCTTGCCAAGAAACTATTTCAAGATCCGTTCATTGCGAGTCATTATAGCAGGCTTGTGTTCGTGACAATAGGCCCTAAATATCGATTAGCGGACATCTTGGTGGATATTCTCACACAATTGAATAATGCTGACATTGATGAAATAATATGGCTTACGAAAGGAGAAGAATTATTACATGAGCTGAAATGGAAGGTGTGCGAAAGTTTAAGTGAATTGAGATACTTGATCGTGTTGGATGATGTATGGTACACGGATCTCTGTTATGAGTTCGCCAACGTATTTCCAGACGACAAAAATGGAAGTGTAGCATTACTGACTACTAGGCTAACAGAAGTAAGTAAATGTGTCCACCCTTTGAATTCTCACAGACTACCCTTCCTTGATAAGAAAGAAAGTTGGGAACTTCTTCGTCACAAGGTGTTTGATGCAATGCCTTGCCCTCGTGAACTCGAGAAATCTGGAAAGAAGATTGCGGAGAATTGTGAAGGTCTTCCACTTACAATAGTTACAGTTGCCCACATCCTTTCCAAAACTGACAAGACTTCGGTGTACTGGAACCAGGTAGCTAATGATAAACAAAATTCGGTTTACAAGGATGCATATGATCAAATGTCCAATGTACTATATCCAAGCTATGACTATTTACCTCAACATTTGAAAGCATGCTTTCTCTACTTAGGAGCTTTCCCACAAGATTATATGGTGTGGAGGCGCCAACTGATCGACTTGTGGAGTGCTGAAGGATTTCTTAACCGAAAATCAACCATGACTTCAACTGATTATACGTTTGCTTATGTAGGAGCGCTTCTTTCAAATAATGTTATCATCTACAATGAAGAAAAGTTTATATATCACCTTCATTAATCATTTTGGTACTTGTGTAACAAAGAAGCTGCCAAGAATAAGTTTTTCGATGCATTCAATTGTCTTGCCGATGCTCTACCAAAAGAAGGTATAAACTACCAGCTGCGCCGATTGTGCATCCGAAATAATGTTCTACTTGCCATTGAAGATGCGCACGATTCAATTGCATCTGCTTCAACGGTACGCTCTCTCCTATGTACCGGTCCATATCATCAATATCCTGTACCATTTTGTTTGGAACAATTAAGGTTGCTCAGGGTATTGGAAGCTCTTTCTATTAAATCCTATGAGTTCCCAATGGAAGTGTTGAAACTATTGCAGCTAAGATACCTCGCCCTCACTTACGATGGAAACCTCCCTACTTTCATTTCCAAACTATTCAACCTTCAGTACTTGATTGTTCATCATCAGTACCGGATCGTAAAATCTGTTGGGAATCCATATTATCTGCCTATTGAGATATGGAATATGAAAGAATTGAAGTCTCTCGAGATCCGGGGAAGAGACCTACCACATCCTTGTGAAGGATCCCTCCTATCAAACCTCACAACTCTAACTGGTGTCGGTCCTCAAAGTTGTACCAAAGATGTGCTTGAAAAAATCCCTAATCTGAAGGAGTTAACAATCCAAATCGAACTAGTTCCGGTTGCTTCTAAGCCCTTCAGTTGCTTTGATCACATTTACAATCTGCATCAACTACAAGAATTAGAATGTGAAATTACAAATCCTATTTTCAAGACTGAGGTTGTTACCCGATTTGGTCCTCTTTCAGACTTGCCATCAAGTCTTACAAAGTTAACCTTGAGCGGCTTAGGATATCCGTGGGAAGAAATGAGAAAGATTTCTTCATTGCCAAATCTTACAGACCTGGTATTGCAATGCTATGCCTTTCGAGGCCCGAAGTGGGAGGTTCACGACCACGAATTCCAAAAGCTTTCACATTTTCAAATTGAAGACACCGATCTGGTGCACTGGAAGTTTGTGACAACAAATTTCTGCTTCCCTGCTATTAAGGTTCTTGGCATCGAACATTGCTACAAGTTAAAAGAGATCCCTCTCACATTCGGTACATCTCTTGAAAATATTTATTTAGTTGACTGCAACCCTATGGTTGTGAATTGTGCAAACAGTTTAAAAGGGGAGTGGGACGACAAATATGGCGGTCATGGACGTCGATTATATGTTATTGTCCGTTCTTCATTGTACTGATGGGAACACCAGAATATTGATTCTTGAAAAGGTTAATCATTCAATTTTTATTTCAATCTGAGGATGAATCTGTATCAAAAGGGTTGGAATTTGAGGTATAACAGGCCGATAAGTTCTATTATTTTTTTAAAATATTTTTTATTACCAAGGATCTACTCAATTGTATGTATATGTATACATTCTCCTACAAAACAACTATAAATAGACAATACACATATATGGTTGATAACACGTGCATTGGGATAATGTAAGTTGCGTTTGGATGAAACTGTTGAAATTACCAAAACAAGTGCATGTGTGTTGCAGGTATTATGTTAATACGAAGCTTGCATATTGAGTTATCGTTAGATGGTGAAAGATTTGGTTTTGAGTTTTCTTGTATTCATATATTGTTCAAGTAATTCTCATCTTCAAATTTCGTGTGTGCAATACTCGACTCAATTTCCTTCTCGTCTTGTCTTGTTTGATGTTCATCCTAATATTTTAGTTAATAGACAGTTTTTTTTAGTTAGTCGATTGAGTTGTTTGCTTAGTCGACTAAGGTTTTTTAGTTAGTTGCTAATTATTTGATTTAGCAGAATGCAACAGCAAGTTATATTTTCATCGGAAAAAAAAGGCGCAAGTCCCGACAATTTTGAGCAATAAATCTTTCTCGACGAAGAGTAATGGTAGGTGATCATTTGTTGAGTCTCTCGATTTCATTATCTGAAATTAGGCGGAACAGTTTATTTGGTGGAAACACATTTCTATTTTTCCCATTATTACCAGGAACATCCTCAAAACTTTTAAATATTTACGGAAATGACCCCGAAACGTTTCAGACAAGTGTCATGGTGTTTCGATTTCCGAAATGCGAAAACGCGTTTACCGAAGTTTCCGTGCACCATAGCGTTTCATTTATGGGATTTTATAATTTTTGGGATGAAATTGTAAGATTAAAGTGAAATTGAGGCTGAATCAAAAAAAGAAGTTAAAAAAGGGTTGAATGTGTTATTTTAGAAGGCTCACGTACTCCACACGTGACTTAATCGGCTCCCAAATTGGTCTATATATAAAGGGCAAATTACCAAAACCCCCCTGAGGTAAGCCTAAATAACGAAAATCCCCCCCACGTTCTCGTAATTACGAAAACCCCCCTAAACTAACGGTTGACCGAATTTTTTTAACCGAAAACGTGTAATGTCTATTATATCCTTCTGTTAAATATGTGAAAATAAAAGGGCAAATTACCAAAACCCCCCTGAGGTAAGCCTAAATAACGAAAATCCCCCCCACGTTCTCGTAATTACGAAAACCCCCCTTGACTAACGGTTGACCGAATTTTTTTAACCGAAAACGTGAAATGTCTATTATATCCTTCTGTTAAATATGTGAAAATAAAAGGGCAAATTACCAAAATCCCCCTAAGGTAAGCCTAAATAACGAAAATTCCCCCCACGTTCTCGTAATTACGAAAACCCCCCTTGACTAACGGTTGACCGATTTTTATTTATTTATATATTTTAATTGATTTTATTTATCCAGAGGAGTATTAAACCGATATTGTATATTAAATATAAACGAAAACCCCCACTTACATGTTGTATATTAAATATAAATTAATCTTTAAAAAACAAAAAAAAAGAAATAAAAACAAAAAAAAAGAAATAAAAACAAAAAAAACAAAAAACAAAAAAGGAGAAAAATATATTGAGTCTTCTTCTTCCCTTCGTCCTTCGGAAGAGACGACCCAATCTCCAGTCCTCCTTCGGAATCATTCGACTTGCACAACGAAATCGAATACTTCTCTCCATCAATCGACACGACTTCAAGCTTTCTCGCCCTTCCCAATCCGAAATCCGCATCGCACAAGTCGAACTTCGGCGAACTGTCCTCATCCCTACAAATTTCTCACTATCGGACATCCAATTCTCGACACCTTTCAAAACCTCGTCTTTGTTATTCACCCTGTTTTTAATATCCAAAGCTATAGCCTCCGCAGCAATTACAAACCCTTCTTCCCCGACAAGTGTTTTGTGCTTGATTTTCGCTATTCCGCCACCCAAGCAATTGCCGAAGTAATTCAGTGGCATCGGCGGATTAGTTCTCCCTCTAACATCGACCGTCAAATTTTCCTCTTAAATTCGACACCTACCTGTTATGTCGAAATTTTTGAAAAGAATCGACACTTGTGTATCGAATTAAAAATCGACATTTGTGAGCGGCGATGGAGGACGTTTTTTCGACGGCAATAGAGGACATCTTAGACGGCGGCGATGGAGGACTTATTTTCCGGCGGCGAGGCAAGTTTTGTCGGTGTGTGGGCGAGTTCTCGGCGGCAGGCAAGATCCCGGTGAGGCTTTGAAGCTTGAAGTCAATCTCGAATGTGTCGTCTGATTGTGGTCTTGCGTGAGAGGAATTGGATTTTATTTATATATTTATAACCTCTCATTAAATAAAATACTTACAATTACCCCCTAAGGATAATTTCGTGTACAAGGGCAAAATTGCTATTATCGGAGGAATATTCGGGAGAATAAAAAAGATTCTATCGAGTTTAACACCGTTAGAGCGATTTATAAGATGTCTGCATACCTCAGGGGGCTTTTCGTAATTACGAGAACGTGGGGGGATTTTCGTTATTCAGACTTACCTCAGGGGGGTTTTGGTAATTTGCCCATATATAAATGCACCATCCGCGATGAGGGACTAAGACTCAATCTTCTTGGATTAATGTATCAAACTGCACATGGAAAATGTCAATCGAGTAAACATATTACATAATTGACCTTGGGAGAGAGAGAAAGAGAGATAAGCATACGCTGGATGTTAGATATTTTTTAAAAGGATAAATTCCACTTTCCCCCCTTTACTATGGCTCGATATCACTTTGCCCCCTTCTACTCTCAATTACATTGATTTGACCCCCTGTACTTGAAAAGTTGTCTCAATGTAGCCCTTGCCGTTAGTCTTTAGACATTTGACTTTAACACCGTTTGATCTAAGTCTGAAAATTACAAAAAACCTTACCTCCCAGTTTAAATAATAATTTTTTTTTTTAAATTTAATTTTTTTTTTTTAAGTAAAAATAAATTGTGGTTGCCGTCGTGGACTATACTTTCCGTCAATTTATTCGTCAGTTAAGTAATGACGGGCACACGCTTGATTCCGTTAGTACTAACTATAAATTAACAGAAAAGACTAAAAGTGTTGAATTTTTGAAATATGATGGATCAAACGTGTAATCAATGCAAAGTTAAGAAATGAAATTGTATTTTTCCCAATATAAGAATGAAGCACTTGCTGAACCAATTAATCTTTATCATTGTCCGAAACATAATGCTTAACTTGCAGTGAGGCAAATGATTTCATCAACAGCTTAATCATCTCGAGAACTGGTCTGTATGCATGTATATAATTAACCGCGCATTCAAGAAATGGACTTTGACTAAATCTCCTTGGATAGCAACAGTATATAATAAAGAAAATAATACATTATTACAACCTGTACGTACTTAATTAACACAAATTAGTTAATGGCCAACTTGGATTAATTAATAAAAAAAATAATTCATATGGTTGACTTTTTTGCACATCGTATCCAGAGCAATAACTTCACAATCAAATGCCTATGAAGAAGACTTGTTTTGTTCCAGACTGAAAATTGTGTGTGTGTGTGTGTGTGAGAGAGTGATAAGGAACGCCAAATTGGATTCGAATTGGAAAATAACTATTTAATTCGTAGAAGAGTTATTGATGGGCATCGGTGGAGATACCGAAAGAAATTACGGAAAAATAAGGGTTTTCAACGAACTCAAATTGTACTTGAGTACGAAACGAACTCTATCTCAAGTAAAACGGCGCAAGGAACAAAACTCATGAGCAATGCTCATGAATCACGTCAAATTTCTGCAATCCAACGTCGTTTGGACTCCTAAAACTTCGTTTTTGCTATTTTAGGCAAGTTTTAGAAAATTAATATCAAATCATAGAAAAATCGGATTAGGATTCCGTAAATTGGGTTGTTCCCAAAATTACGAGATCTACTAGAATCAAACTCTAACTCGTTTTTGCCTTTTTTGGTAATTTTTAGTATTTTCTTAGTTTAATTAGGGTTTTCAGTTTTTTAGTATAAATAGCTGCCTTAGGTCTTTATTTTAAGGAGATTTTTCGAATTTTAATAAAATATTTAGAGTTTTCTCTATTTTTCTGGTGGATTCCAGAGTTTTCGGTGGATTCCGAATGTTATTTTGTTCTATAGGATTAATTCGTAGAAATTAATTCTTTACCGTGCTTCCGTTCTGCGTCAGTTGGCATCAGTAGCGAGGTTTTTCCTGGTTAGATGGCGAAAGGTGCGAGATATGGAGACAACAACTACGTTGGCGATGACCGCGGGGTTGAGAAACTGCAAAATCTGCGGTTGGTGCGCGAGGGATTTGCCCTTGACAACAACAACAGAAGAACTGGATCTAGCATGGGTATTGCCGACGGTGTAGCCCGAGGTGCATATGTTAGACACAATTATCATGGATCTGTTCAACTTCAATCAAGGTATGACGATTATTCAAAGGTGAGCGACAACTCTGATTTTGAAGAAAATCCGCCTATAAAGAGGCAAAAGGATCGTGATAAATATCGGGTAAGAGCTGAAATTCCTTCTTTTAGTGGAAATTTTCTTGAAGTTGAGGATTTTATCGATTGGGTGTCAGAAGTTGAAAATTATTTTGAATTGATGGGTATTTTGCCGAATAAGATGGTAAAATTGGTTAGGTGTGAGTTAAAGGGTTGTGCAGCCGCATGGTGGGATGAAATACAGAGGAAGAGAGCTAGACAAGAAAAATTTCCAATCCAATCATGGAGGAGGATGAGAAAAATGTTGATGGATCGTTTTTTACCCCTAGATTATGAGCAACGTCTATTTCAACTATATAGTAATTGTTCGCAAGGGAGTAGATCTGTTAACAAGTATACTGCTGAGTTTATGAGACTAGCAGACTTAAATAACCTGCAAGAATCCGAAAGTATGGAAATTTCAAGGTACTTGCAAGGATTGAATATTTCAATCCGTCTTAGGATGGGGTGGCGCGCATTCGACTCCCTTGAAGAGGCTGAAGAGTTAGCATGGAGCGAGGAATATTATCAGAAGCGAAATAGTTCTTCTAGAAAAATCAAAGATGTTCTACCCATTGCCAAAGTTAAGGAGGTACAAGATACTTCGTTCGTTATTCAAGCATCCGGTTTGGTGGAGGATCATGGCGTACGAGTTAACAAAGTTGAAGAAGAAATTGTTGATGCAAAAGTTAAAATTAGCGTAGATATGATTAACGATGACATTAACAAAATCAAGGTGAAAGTCAATGAAGTTGAAGGGGGAGTCAACGAGGTTGAAGAGAGCATCAACAAAGTCGAAGATATCATCAACGAGGTAGAAGAGAACGTTAGCAAGGTTGAAGAGGGAGTCGGTGAGTTTCGAGAGGGTGTTAAAAATAAATTTGAGGAAGAATTTGAAGTTGTAAAATTTGTTCAAGAAGAGGAAGGTGCACGTGAAGAGAAGGAACAAGTGGATTGCGTTGAGGTATGTGATCTAATTGTAGATAATGTTTGCTGTGAAGTTCCTGCATCGGGGAAATTGGTGGAGCCATTGAGATTTTCGATTAAGAAGCCAATTTTTCCAACGCCTCGTTTGGATGAAGATTTTGAAAGCGAGATTTTTGTGCCGGGAATATTGGTGGAGCACTTGAAGTTGTTTCGAAAGAAATATGCATCGCTATATTTTGATCATAGCTCGAGGTCGAGCTCTTTTGAAGAAGAGGAGATTGATAAGGAACGCCAAATTGGATTCGAATTGGAAAATAACTATTTAATTCGTAGAAGAGTTATTGATGGGCATCGGTGGAGATACCGAAAGAAATTACGGAAAAATAAGGGTTTTCAACGAACTCAAATTGTACTTGAGTACGAAACGAACTCTATCTCAAGTAAAACGGCGCAAGGAACAAAACTCATGAGCAAAGCTCATGAATCACGTCAAATTTCTGCAATCCAACGTCGTTTGGACTCCTAAAACTTCGTTTTTGCTATTTTAGGCAAGTTTTAGAAAATTAATATCAAATCATAGAAAAATCGGATTAGGATTCCGTAAATTGGGTTGTTCCCAAAATTACGAGATCTACTAGAATCAAACTCTAACTCGTTTTTGCCTTTTTTGGTAATTTTTAGTATTTTCTTAGTTTAATTAGGGTTTTCAGTTTTTTAGTATAAATAGCTGCCTTAGGTCTTTATTTTAAGGAGATTTTTCGAATTTTAATAAAATATTTAGAGTTTTCTCTATTTTTCTGGTGGATTCCAGAGTTTTCGGTGGATTCCGAATGTTATTTTGTTCTATAGGATTAATTCGTAGAAATTAATTCTTTACCGTGCTTCCGTTCTGCGTCAGAGAGAGAGAGAGAGAGAGAGAGAGAGAGAGAGAGAGAGAGAGAGAGAGAGAGAGAGAGAGAGAGAGAGAGAGAGAGAGATGATCGTCTCGCTCAATGGGATGGCGGGCATTGGTAAGACTACTCTTGCCAAGAAACTCTTTCAAGATCCATTCATTGTGAGTTGTTATAGCAAGCTCGTGTTCGTGACCATAGGCCCTAAATATCGACTAGCAGATATCTTGGTGGATATTCTAACACAAGTGAATCCCGACATTGATGAAATAATGCTTATGAAAGGAGAAAAAGGATTAGCTGGATTGAAAAGAATGGTTCAAGAAAGTTTAAAGTATTTGAGATACTTGATCGTGTTGGATGATGTATGGGAAATAGACCTCTGTTTTGTGTTGTTGGAGTTATTTCCAGACGACAAAAATAGAAGTCGAGTGTTGGTCACAACTAGGATGCAAGAAGTAGCTGATTGTGCTAAGCCTTTGAATATTTGCAATATACCCTTCCTTGATAAGAAAGAAAGTTGGGATCTTCTTCGCGAGAAGGTGTTTGGTGAAGAAGAACCGTGCTCTTATAGACTTGAGAAAGCTGGAAAGAAGATTGCCGAGAATTGTGAAGGTCTTCCTCTTACAATCATCACGGTTGCCAATATCCTGTCAAAAGTTGACAAGACAATAGAGTACTGGAACGAGGTAGCGGATGATAAACGAAATTCAGTATACAAGGATGCATATGAACAAATGTCAAAGGTACTATATCCAAGCTATGACTACTTAGATCAACATTTAAAAGCATGTTTTCTCTACATTGGAGCTTTCCCACAAATTTTTTTACTAGACGTGTCCCAACTAGCCAACTTGTCGAGTGCTGAAGGATTTCTTAACTCAGAATCAGTGCATTACTATGAGGAGACCATGGATTATGCATATGATAGCTATGGATATTTTGATGACCTTTATGCCACAAATGTTATCATGTTCGACAATGAAACATTTGATTTTTACCTTCATTCGTCCTTTTGGTACTTGTGTAACAAAGAAGCTGCCAGGACCAAGTTTTTCTATGCCTTAAATTGCCATGGCGATACTCTACCGGAAGAAGGTATAGAAAGCCAGCGCCGATTGTGCATCCGTAATAATGTTCTACTTGCCATCAAAGATGTGCACAACTCAATTGCATCTGATTCAAAGGTACGATCTCTTCTTTGTACAGATTATTTTCATAAATATCCAGTACCGCTGTTTTTGGAACATTTGAGGTTGCTGAGGGTATTGGATGCTCGTTCTATTAGATTCTATGAGTTCCCGATGGAAGTATTGAAACTAGTTCAATTAAGATACCTCGCCCTCCTTTATAATGGAAACCTCCCTTCTTCCATTTCCAAACTCTGGAACCTTCAAAACTTGATTGTTGTTCGACATCTAAGGATAGTAAAATCTGTTGGGAATCTATTGTATCTGCCTATTGAGATATGGAATATGAATGAATTGAAGTATCTTTACACATGCGGAAGAGACCTACCACATCCTTGTTGTGAAGGATCTCTCCTACCAAACCTATTAAAACTAAGTGGTGTCGGTCCTCAAAGTTGTGCCAAATCTGTGCTCGAAAAAATCCCTAAATTGAAGGCGTTATCGATTGATATCGAGCTGGCTCCTGATGCTACAGAGCCCTTGACATGCTTTGATCACATTTCCCATCTCCATCAACTACAAGAACTAGGATGTTACATTATGAATCCTACATTGAAGACAGAGGTTGTTACCCCACTTGCTCCTCTTTCAGACTTCCCATCAAGTCTTACAAAGTTAACTTTGAACGGCTTAGGATATCAGTGGGAAGAAATGAGAAAGATTTCTTCATTGCCAAATCTTACTCGTCTCTACCTGGAATGCTATGCCTTTCGAGGCCCAAAATGGGAGGTTCGTGACAACGAATTCCAAAGTCTCTTACATCTTGAGTTTGAAGACATCGATCTGGAGCAATGGACATTTGAAAATTGTCTATGCCTCCCTGTGATTGAGAGCCTTCGCATCGCACATTGCTACAAGTTAAAAGAGATCCCTCTCACATTTGGTAAATCTCTTGTACGCATTCAAGTAGTCGAATGCAACCCTATGGCTGTGAAATGTGCAATCAAGTTAAAAGAGGAGTGGGACGACAAATATGCTAATCGTGAACGTTTGTTACAACTTGATGTTCGTTCTTCACTGTAACAATGGGAACACCAAGCCGTGAGTGACTCTACCATATCATTGATTCTTCAAAAGGTTAGTCGTTAAATTTTTATATCTATCGATCGAAAATACTAATATTTTAGTCAATGCCCATTCAGGTAAAAGGAATTGAACAACCTTCAATTTTTAGCATTAGATTTGAATTAATATATATATATATATATATATATATATATATATATATATATATATATATATATATATATATATATATATATATTTTTTTTATTATTATAATTTCATCATACAGTGAATATTACCAAAGAATAGATATACTCAGTATATATGCATACATTCTCCTACAAAACAATAGAAATAGACAATATAGATATATGGTTGATAACACATATATATAATAGGATCATATAAGTTGCGTTTGGATGAAACAGTTTGAATTTGCTACAACAGAGATAGATTTTACTATAGGGTAAATTACGAAAACTCCCTGAACTTAGGCTAAATAACAAAAAAAACCCCACATATTCGTAATTACCAAAAATCACTGAGGTTTGTTTCCATCTTACACCAACCTTTTACAGTGTCAGTTTTCACGGATTTTTTTTATTCCAAGAAATAGACTTTACACAATTTCAGATATTTTCTTTTATTTCTCACCTATTTAATGGAAGGTATTTAAAACTCTATTAACACTTAATCAGATGGGGATTTCGGTTATTACGGATAAGTGGGGGTGTTTTTCGTTATTCAGTCTAAGTTTAGGGAGATTTTCGTAATTTACCCTTTATTATATTACAAATTAATTTATTTGATTACTGATCAATGAATTTGCTATTATGGATTAAAAAAAAATTAACATCCGAAATCATTGAACATTCTCCTTTATTACAGGTGTATCGTCTCGAGAGCCGTAGGCTGATTGATCGCGAGAGAAATTACATCGACATTGTTTGCATCAGGAATCGGAGGAACGTACTTTCAGTTTTGAGACGGACAAATCAAAGCGTGTTTAAATATTTTGTTAATGTTATTTGGTGTGTTTAATTTTTCTTGATTTAATTTTTATAACATCCTCATCAGTTATATGTTGTGAGGTTAAAATTAAGACTATTGCGCAATTAAGAAAGTGCACGTGTGTCGCACATATTGTCGAATGTACGAGTTTTACCTGTCTCTGCCGGAAACAGGTAAAGCAAAGATAGTTACATACATACGATAACCGAAGTATAAAGAACATATATGCAACAGTAAGCCATATTTTCTATCGGAAAAAAGCCATGTTGAGTCTCTCGATTTCATATTTTAAAGAACTTAAAAAAATCCCTATGTTTCATTACTTGAAGTTAGGTGTAAAATTCTCCACTTTGACAGTTTTCGCGAAGCAAAATCTCACCTTAGAATACACATAGCAAATGAAGAGAAAATCGAGGAACGTTATAAGCATATGCAGCCTCGAAACTCAATATTAAACATCAAATAAAACGAGCAATGGGGGGTGTGTTTTGCGTATTTATGAAATTCTACCTTTACGTGAATGGGGGTATCTTTCTTTGTTATGTGCGGTGCACATGCTATTCTCCGTCCCTACTAACCGGACAAACGGACGGAGGGACAAAAACAACATAAAAGTAGCATGTTTAGGGACGTAAATTGTAACTTCATCTTGTTTATGGACGAAAATCGAATAAGTGGTATAGTATATGAACGAAAAGTGTAATTATCCCCAGAGATGTTTTTGAAAGAATCCCTAGGTTAGAGGTTTTAGCAATCTAAATAGAAATTGCTCCCGACAATTTTCAACCCTTGAGATGCTTTTTGTCATATTTTTCATCTCCATAAACCAATGCCTCGTTTGTTTGAAAAGATAAGATTAGCCAGGATAAAATTAAATATTCTAATAAAACCCAATTGTATTATTGGATATTGGAAGATCCAATAAAAAACATGCCTAAAAGGCGAGATAATGCATAATAACATAATTTATGCGGGTCGACCCGGTAAGTTATTGGGATATCAGACATCAAACAAAGTCCCATTATTTAGTTAAGTGTAAATTACAGCCACCCCCTGAGGTACGGTTAAATTACGAAAAAACCCCTCTTGTTTGGGTAATTACAACCACCCATCAACTATGAATTTTTGTACATGTCCATCTCTGTGGTGTCAAATTTAGTGGAATCTTCTAAATTATGTAATATTCTCCTGTTTGTATCTTTTTTAATATATTCGAGTTCCACATTTTGAAACAAGATGATCATAAGATGTGTTTCTTGACATGTAAATATCATATTGTGGTGCATCAAAAACTGCATTTTACAAACTAGAAGATTTTGTTGAATTTGACACCATAAGGATGAATGTGCAAGAAGATTCATACTTGATGGGGGTGGTTATAATTACCCAAACAAGAGGGAGTTTTTCATAATATAACCATACTTCAGAGTATTAGAGTATATTATATTATTAGATATTATAGGATATTAGAATTCTAGTATGATTCGGTTACCTAGATTAGTTAGGATTTATTTACCTAGTCAAACTCTATTACCTTGCAATATTTCTCTATATATATTCCATGTAATCAACCCATAACACAATGGGGGTTTCTATTCTATCACGTATTCTATTCCTATATGGTATCAGAGCACCAGGTTTTTTAACCTAGCCTAGCCGCCTTCTTCTCCATGGCGGTGACCACCCAATTTTCTCTTTCCCCCGGTGGTGGTACTCTAATATCTTTCTTTTTCTATCTTTTCCATGAACACCACCCAATTTTCTCCCTCCCCGGTGGTTCATCTTCTATCTGCTTCTTCTTTTTCTTCTTCGTATATGGTCTAAGACCTAGCCGCCGCTTCTCTTCTTCTCCATGGCCGGCGAACAACACCCAATCTTCTCCCCCCTCTCTCATCTCTTCTATCTATCTCGATAAAAAAAAAAAAAAAAAAAAAAAAAAAAAAAAAAAAAAAAAAAGAAGAAGAAGAAAGGTTGCTTATTTTTCTATCACCCGTTATTATTATTATTATTATTTTTTAAATTTGGCAGATATTTCAACAGAGGAAGTCTCTAGTGTTGTGTTTCGCGACTTATTTTCCAGTCTTCACTTTTGGAGTATATTTGTTCCGACTGCGGGAGCGTGTTAGCAAGTGATTTTCCAGTCTTCACGTTCGTCAAGTTTCGACTGCGGGGGCGTATTAGAGTATATTATTAGATATTATAGGATATTAGAATTCTAGTATGATTCGGTTACCTAGATTAGTTAGGATTTAGTTACCTAGTCAAACTTTATTACCTTGCAATATTTCTCTATATATATTCCATGTAATCAACCCATAACACAATGGGGGTTTCTATTCTATCACGTATTCTATTCTTCCTATACAGAGGTGGTTGTAATTTACCCTTTAGTTAATCATGGCTATCTCTCGAACCAAACAAGTCCTAAAAGTACTAGAATGTGTCACTGTGAATCCCATATTGAAGACAGAAGTTGTAGAAAATCTACGGCAAATTGCTTTCTTCAAAAGGTTAGTCATTCAATTTCTCGCAAAAGCTCACATTGCAAATTAAAGAGTATGTCAAAATCGAAAAGAAAAACGAGAACGACGGTATAAGCATATGCAGTCTCGGGCCTCTTACACGAGTTGGGATTGTCCCTCCCAGGTCGACCGACGACCCATCGGCTGATTATATTAGTTGTTTACTCTATGTAGTTTGATTTTCTATTTTTTTTTTAAGCTGTCTAGCTTATACATAATAAAGAATAATACAGTACAACCTGTAAGACAAGTTAATTAGTGGCCATCTTGGATTAAATATCATTATGGTTGGTTGACTCTTTTGTCACATCTTTGCAGAGCAATAATTTCACAAACAATGCCTATGAAGAAGACTTATTCCAGACTGAAAACTATGTGATATCTTAGAGAGAGAGAGATGGCTTATGGAGCTGTTGGTTGTCTTGAGCTGACAACTGAGCGCCTTTTGAAATCATCACATATTTCGATTGTTCAAAATTCATCCCCACAAATAATTAACCTTCTGTACGATGAGATTCTTTCCTTAAAAGAAGCTCTCAGAGAATTCAATACAAGGAGGAGCACCATCAACATGAAGATGGTCAAAACTTTGGAGGCACAAATCATAGATGTTGTATACGAATTCGAAGATGTATTTGACTCCCATCTCGCAAATCAGTTATATTCACAATCTGAAGAAGAGACCGGTGATCCTCCATTAATGTTATTCTCAGTAGATCTTCAAGAAATAAAGCAAGATGTCGATTCCTTTGTCGAAAGGATGAACAAGATGAAGAAGGCCTACATTCATGAGTTATGCAACCCCTCGCCAGAAGAAGATGATTGTGTGGGCCCGTCATCAAGGATTGATTTTGGTGGAAATGATGATTATAACATGGTTGGATTATCTGATATATTTACTGAAATCAAAGATCTGTCTCGTTGGTCGGGATGGCGGGCATTGGTAAGACCACTCTTGCCAAGAAACTCTTTCAAGATCCATTCATTGTAAGTTGTTACACCAGACATGTATTCGTAAGTCGTAACCATAGGCCCTAAATATCGACTAGCGGACATCTTGGTGGATATTCTGACACAATTGAATAATCTTGACATTGATGAAGTAATATTGCTTATGAAAGGGGCAGAATTATTAGTCGAGTTGAAACGAATGGTGTTCAAAAGTTTAAGGTTTTTGAGATACTTGATTGTGCCGGATGATTTATGGGACGTTGAGCTCTATTTTGACTTGACGGAATTCTTTCCAGACGACAATAACGGAAGTCGAGTGCTACTGACGACTAGGACAGAAGAAGTAGGTTATTGTGCTAGTATGTGGAGGGATTACAATTTACGCTTCTTGGATAAGAAAGAAAGTTGGGAACTTCTTCGTCACAAGGTGTTTGGTGAAGAAGAACCGTGCTCTTATGAACTTGAGAAAGCTGGAAAGAAGATTGCCGAGAATTGTGAAGGACTTCCTCTTACAATCATCACGATTGCCAATATCCTGTCAAAAGCTGACAAGACAATAGAGTACTGGAACGAGGTAGCGGATGATAAACGAAATTCAGTATACAAGGATGCATATGAACAAATGTCAAAGGTACTATATCCAAGCTATGACTACTTAGAACAACATTTAAAAGCATTCTTTCTCTACCTTGGAGCTTTCCCAAAAAATTATTCGGTGTATGGATACCAAATGGTCAACTTGTGTGGTGCTGAAGGATTTCTTAACCCAGACCCAATCGCGACTTTCGAAAATAATAGCTATGGATACTTGAATGAGCTTTGTTTTAAAAATGTTATCATGAGCGCCAAAGAAGAACGCGGTTTTCACCTTCATTCGTCATTTTGGTACCTGTGTAACAAAGAAGCTCCCAAGAACAATTTTTACTATGCCTTGAATTTTTGTGCTGATGCTTTACAAGAAGAAGGTATAAAATACCAGCGGCGATTGTGCATTCGCAATAGTTTTTCACCCCTTAAGTTTGCACTAATTCCATATTTGGTCCTCCATGTTCACAAAAAACACATTTGATCCTTCATATTTCAATAATTTAATATTTTTGGTCATTTTCGTCAGTTTACCGTTAGTTCATCAGTTAAGTTAATGACGGGCACATGCTTGATTCCGTTAATACTAACAAAAAAATTGACGAAAAAGACTTAAAGTGTTGAATTTTTTAAATAGGAGGGACCAAATGTGATTTTTGTGAACATAAGGGACTAAATGTGAAATCAACGCTAAGTTAAGGGATGAAAAGTGTACTTTTACTTGTATAAGAATGAAGCACTTGCTGAACCAAGTAATCTTAATTATTGTCCGAAAATTATATACATACAGACCAGTTCTCGAGTTTGACTTAATTAATCTCCTTGGATTGTAACAGTATATAATAAAGAGAATAATACAATATTACAACCTGACGTCCGATAACTTCGTTCATATGGTTGACTCTTTTGCACATCGTATCCAGAGCAATAAACTTCACAATCAAATGCCTATGAAGAAGACTTGTTTTGTTCCAGACTGAAAATTGTGTGTGTGTGTGTGTGTGTGTGAGAGAGAGAGAGAGAGAGAGAGAGAGAGAGAGAGAGAGAGAGAGAGAGAGAAGCATTTCAAGATGGCTTATGGTGCTGTTGGTTGTCTTGAGCTGACAATTGAGCGACTTTCGAAATCATCACATAATTCGATTATTCAAAATTCATCCCCACAAATCATCAAACTTCTGTACAAGGAGATTCTTTTCTTAAAAGAAGCTCTCAGAGAATTCGATAAAAGGAGGAGCACTATTAGCATGAAGATGGTGAAAACACTGGAGGCAGAAATCATAGATGCAATATACGAATTCGAAGATGTGCTCGAACCCCATCTCTTGAATCAGTTCCATTCACAATATGAAGAAGAGTCCGTTCATTAATGTTATACTCAGTAGACATGCAAGAAATAAGGCAAGATGTCGATTCCTTTATCGAAATGGTGAACAAGATGAAGAGGGCCTACATTCATGAGTTACGCAACCCTTCCCCCGAACAAGAAGAAGAAGAAGAAGAAGACTGGGATGATTGTGTGGATTTTGGTGGAAACGAGTCTTATAACACGGTTGAATCATCTCATCTATTTATGAGAATCAAGGATCGGCTTGTAAATTCCTTTTTCGAAACAGTGAACAAGATGATCAAGAAGCCCTACACTCGCGAGATACGCAGCCCTTTATATCTATTTACGAGAATCAAAGACCGGCTTAATTCCTCACAATCTGAAGGGATGAGTGTGTCTCTCGTCGGGATGGCGGGCATCGGTAAGACTACTCTTGCCAAGAAAGTCTTTCAAGATCCATTCATTGTGAGTCGTTTCAGCCTACGTGTGTTTGTGTCCATAGGCCCGAAATATCGATTACATGATATCTTGTTAGATATTCTAAGGCAATTGGATCCTGTATATAATGAATTAAGGCTTCCAACAGATACATTATTAGCCAAGATCAAATGGGTGCTGCTGTCATATTTAAGAGATTTAAGATTTCTGATTGTATTGGATGATGTATGGGATGCAGAGCTCTGTTCTCAGTTGTAACTAGGCTATGCGAAGTAGCTGTGTGTGCTCACCCTTTGAATTCTTTCAAAATACCATTCCTTGATAGAAAGAAAGTTGGGATCTTCTTCGTGAGAAAATATTCGGTGAACAAGAGTCGTCATTCTCTTATGGAGCACCAGCGCCGATTGTGCATTCGAAATAGTATTCTATTTGCTATTGAAGATGTGCACAACTCAATTGCATCTGCGTCAACTGTACGCTCTCTCTTATGTACTGGTCCATTTCATCAATATCCAGTGCCATTACCTTTGGAACATTTAAGGTTGCTCAGGGTATTGGAAGCTCGAATCAGACTGTATGAGTTCCCATTGGATGTGGTGCAACTATTTCAACTAAGATACCTTGTCCTCACTTATGATGGAGACCTCCCTCCTTCTATTTCCAAACTTTCGAACCTTCAGCAGTTGATTGTTGGTCGATACTGCATCGTAAATTATGTTGACAATGTAGTGTATCTGCCTATTGAGATATGGAATATGAAAGAATTGGAGTATCTACAGTGTGTGGAAAGAGACCTACCACATCCATGTGAAGGATCTCTCCTACCAAAACTCTTACAACTTATTGGTGTTGTACGAAAGACGTGCTTGAAAAAATCCCGAATCTGAAGGATTTAGGAATTCAAATCGTACTATCTCTTGAGAGTCTTTGATCACATTTCCAATCTCCATCAACTACAAACACTGCAATGTGACATTGTGAATCCTATATGGAAGACAAAGGTTGTAACTGCCCCACTTGCTCCTCTTTCCGACTTGCCATCAAGTCTTACAAAGTTAATATTGAAAGGCTCGGGATATCCATGGGAAGAAATGAGAAAGATTTCTTCATTGACAAAGCTTAAGTATCTGACATTGAGTCTTTACGCCTTTCGAGGCCCAAAGTGGAAGGTTCATGACTGTGAATTCCAAAGTTTTGAATTTCTTCACATTGAAGACGCTGATCGGGTGCAATGGAAGTTTGTGTCAACGAATTTGTGCCTCCCTGCGATTAAGTACTTTCGCATCGTACATTGCTACAAGTTAAAAGATATCCCTCTTAAGTTTGGTACATCTCTTCTAAACATTCGAGTAGTCAACTGCAACCCTATGGCGATGAATTGGGCAACAAAGTTAAAGGAGTGGGACGACAACTATGGCGATGGTAAACGTTCATTAACTGTTGATATTCGTTCTTCATTGTAATGAAATGATCGGAACACCAAGCCATAACTCTACCATGATATTGATTCTTCAAAAGGTTAGTCATTAAATTTTTTATTTCTATCAAAAGTTTAGAATTTGAGGTCTATAAGACTGATACATTTGAATTTAATTTTTATTTATTTATAATTTCGTCATACAGTGAATATTATTAATAATATACTCAAAATATATGTATATATTCTACTACAAAACAGCTATAAATAGCCAATAGATATATATGGTTGATAACACATGGGTACTTTTTACAGTTTACTCTAATATAAGTTGCATTTGGATGAAACTGTTTGAATTGTGAGGAGAGAATTTGAAGGAAAGCTAGTATGAAATTGAGATGGATTTGAAATTCACTACTGTAATGGTTTCTTCCTTTTTTTTGTTACAAAATTACCCTTTGGCCAATAGTTTATTTGAAGGATGATATGGTAAATGATCAACTATTTTTTAAACAAATAATTCGTCATTCTTTTGAACGTGTAGGATGTTTTGTAACCGAAATTTCCATCAATTAATCCTTTGCATTAATATCAATAAACTAGCAATTTTAGAGGAAAAAAAACCTCTCATGCACATAATAATAATAATAATAATAATAATAATAATAATAATAATAATAATAATAATAATAATAATAATAATAATAATAATAATATTATTATTATTATTATTATTATTATTATTATTATTATTATTATTATTATTATTATTATTATTATTATTATTATTATTATTATTATTATTATTATTATTATTATTATTATTATTATTATTATTATTATTATTATTATTATTATTATTATTATTATTATTATTATTATTATTATTATTATTATTATTATTATTATTATTATTATTATTATTATTATTATTATTATTATTATTTAAATAATTTAAGCAGACATTTCATCATTATTTTGTTCGTTTTGTAACATACATTTTCATCCATCCTTTGCATTAATATAATTAATCTAGCAATTGAACTAAAAATTTCACACAAAACAAAAAAGAAAGAAAAGAACAAAAAGAAAACCTCACATACCAAATGATCCCAAACTAGTCAACTATTAATAAGAAAAGGGAATACACTTTGCACCCCTGAAGCATAAACTATGTAACACTTCCCCTTAAAATGTCATTTGTATTACTTACTCACCTCAACATTAATTATTTTATATTTTAAAAATTAGAACATAATAAACATAACAACTAATATTTATGGGATCATATAAAATTGAAAACAACTAAAATTAAATTATTGGAGAGAAATTAAAAAGTAACATATATTGTATAATAATGAATGAAAATATATTTTTAAGAAATTAAAGAACTAAAATAAATTTAAATACTTCAGATTACTATTGGCTAAGTATTGATTTCTTAAAATTTATCGATAAGAATATATTCGATTAATTGGTCCAACAACAATCAGATGTTATTTATTAAATATATACCCAATGCAAGATAATATTTTAAAATTTTGAAATACTGCCTTTTTCCATATATATATTTTAGTTGTATAATTTAATTATTCTTTGAATTATTTGTTTCAATAATAGAGAAATTTTAAAGTATTAGAATTTAAAATACAAATTAAATTGTGTTTGAGGGGGTAAGTGTTACATAAGAGCATCTCCAACCGGTTTCACCATTTTTTCACCAAATCCTATTTATGGTGGTGAAAAAATGGGTTCATCTCCTACCGGTAGCACACCATTTTACTCTTCCACCATTTTTAGTGGAAAAATGGTGGTTTTGGTCTTCAATGGGTATCACCAAAATTTAGACCAAATATTAAAATAATAATATTTCACCATTTCACCACTTATAGGAAATGGAATTTGGTTTGGTCTCCAATGGCATTTCACCATATATACCCCAAAACTATAAATCTAATGTTAATCGTAATTTTATAATATTTTATTTCCTAAATATTAATTATAGAACCAATACTAAGTAATAAATTTTCTCAACTAAATAATTTAAAAATTATGTTATTAATCTTAAAAAAATGTCCAAACATGAAATAACATGAACTCAAATTATTTTAAATATAATAAAATTATACATAAACAATAATCTCATAAATTATTGCATAAATAAAATATTACAACATAAATCAATTTGAAATCATAAAAAAAATCTCATTCACCATTATTATCATCATCATCACCATCATAATCTTCAACATCACCGATTTGAGCACGTTTATCCCACAAGTGTGCTTTTCCTTGATTTATCAGATTTCGATGTCGACCAAGAAAACTAACATATGCCGTATTATTAAAATCTCTCAA